ATAATGATTTTCCATTAATTTTGCCCTCGAGTTTAACGGTCCTCATTTGATTATATTACGTGCCTCTTGGCTGACTCACCAATATGGATTATATCTATGTGGAGCCTTCAGAGTGATGGATCCATCAGCTGTGTCTCCACTATCTGCATATGTCACCAGCTGTTTCTAGACATTAACTCAGCTGAGCCAGAGCATCATTGAGGCACTTCTGTGCCAGACCTTCCCACAGGAAGAACCTTTCCAAAGAACCGAGGTCTCACATGATAATTCTGGAGGGACCTTAGGAGGTCTCTAGTCCAACCTCTTGCTCAAAGCAGAATCAACCAGGTTTCAAACCAGGTTGCTTAGGAGCAGCAGTAGCATTACCAGATAAAGCTAATCTTTGAATGGGGAATGGGTATTGTTCCTCATCCCTATGCCCAGTAAGGCAAAGCAGAGGCGTTCAGTATGCCCCAAGTGCTTCCTTAGCTTCCAAACAGTTGCAGCACAGGAGCTTTCTGAAAGAGATGCAATTTCTATAAACTTACTGAATTCCAGTGGATTTTTCTTCCATGAACTTGGTCAGATTCACAGTGAACTTAGGTAAAAATATTAATGGTGGGATTCAGCTCACAGAAGGATACACCTCACTTGGGGTGTCTTCGTGTAGGCTTCTGCTTGTCGTCTGGGTGCTATTGCAGTCAAGGGAGAATTACTCAGTGCAAGTTAATGCAGCCAAGAGAGTGATTCAGCTCATCAGATATATATGTCTACATATAACTCTCGGCTTTTGCCAATGATGAAATCCATATCTTGGGTATGTTTCTCGTGCTTCTCCTGTCAAAATAGTGACTTAGAAATGAAGTTTAGTGGAACAATTCATGTGAACAAAAAAGGAGGAGCAGTCTGGATTGATTCCTATGGTATGGGAAACTGTGGTGGAGATGAATGTAGGCTTGTGTGTTTCATTTTAATCCCTTGGAGCATATTTGGTTTCTTAAAGCACTGAATCCATTCTTCAGGCCTCACAAGTCTGAAGCATGAAAAGGTCAGGGAGTTGCTGGGCTGTTCCCTGCCCTCTGATATTTTTTCTGTTGCCTTAATGAGCATCGCCTAAAATGCAGACCATGTGAGAGTTATTGGACAGAGATGAGAAGAGGTCAGAGATTTCCCCACAGATACATCAAGGGCAAATGCAGTGTCAGCCCACATACCCTGCCTACATACCTTGTTGTGACCGTTGGTAAGCAGCCTACCAATGCAGGGAAAGAAGTCATTGCAGTGTTGGTAGAGGTCACTGGAAAAGGACCCCTTCACCCAACACTACAGTCGAGGTGACTGTGTCTTATGTTTCAAGGCATTATTCTATCTATTCAAGAACCAGAGATACGGTCACCTTATATTCTGGATATTCTTAGTATGAGAATGCTAGATGTTCAGATCAGCCATTGATTTTTGCCTTTGTTTTATTGACAGCCTCAGGTAGGGTGGTCTCAGTAATGTATAGTACTGCTTCCTACTAGATTTGGATTAAGCTTTAGGCAGCCCTGACCTTACTAGAGGCTGAAGCTTCTGCAAAAATTCAAACTTTCCTTAAAAAACCTAACATATGGAAAATACAATGAGAGGGTGACCAACTCGTCTTGGTTATACCTACCTGGTTCTGACAAGAGCTTAAACCAGCAGATTCAATAGGTGCAACATGTTTTATATTGCATTATTAGCTGGGTAACTCTTGCAAATCCACTCTGACCAAGATTTTATAAATATAAATACATACACACACACATATATATATGTACATTTTAACCTGATACTAGGAAATGCACCTTCCTACTACCCATGTTATGCTTTGGCTGGGATGTGGTTAGGGTGCTGAAGACTCATGCTGTTCTGTGTGTTGCTGTATCCTGGAGTGTCCAGGCTGCTGCCGTATTGACACTATAGCTCTGACAAGTAGGCAAATAACAAATGTCTGTGATATTACACTTATATACTGTGGACCCACAGACCACAGCAAAGCAGAACATCCAAGGTTTGCCTCGGTTTGTCTCATTTTGGAACATGGCCCAGACTCTTTGCTCTCACAGTGAAATCTTATGTCTCTGGCTGCGTACAATTACATGCTAGAGGAAAGCAAAAGGTTTCCTATGATATTTCCAGGTTTTCTTTGATTCCACACAGCCCATAAATAAGTGTTGATTAGCAGGGGGAATGACCTCAAGTCACGTCAGCTGTAGGATGTGTTTTCCTGGAGGGAAATGAAGAATATGATTTCCACCTCTCAAAGATAAGAATTATCACAGGTTTTAAAAGCATAATTTTGCCCTTATTATCTTTTTTCTTTTATGGAAGCCCTTCAAATGAAGGGAAAGACTAATGGTAGGTCTGTGTTTAATCATTTGAAATGCCAAGGTTTTGTCAAATACTACCGTCAGACCTCAGATCTGGATTCTCTGGGGTTTAACAGTTGCATTATGACAGAAGAGAATTTCGTTTCATACCCACTTTTGGGAACCTGCATATCACTCACTTATTTGCCAATACACTTGCCTTTTAAGTTTGACCATTTGGCCTTCCAAATGCGAGATAGGATTTTCCAGAGAGTCTATAGTCCAGATTCTTAAAGGGATCCTGTTACTTTTGATATTGATGGGATGCATTTGAAGCCTAATTTGTTGCGAGCCACAAATCCCACTGTCTCTGTGGCCAAAAAAGTGATTATTTTTAAAAGGGGATGACAAAAGTAATAGAATATTAATTTAGTCATATATCAAGTATTCAGCATGAATTTCAGGATCATGTAATTTTCACTGCTGGCTCATCTGTATATATTTATGTCAGACTTGTATTTCTTACATATTAGTCCCATTAAGGCTGAAGGTTTCATTATCTGATTTCAGTTTCTACTGTATGGATGCTGAAGGAACAAAAATGCCCATGATTTCAACCAGAATTCCCTTCCATCTGTGGATAAACTGCTTCTAACTCAAAGGACCTGCATATTAAAGAACAAGATATAAAAAGATATTATTAATGCTTCAGATTGACAGGTTTTAGAAATCAATATATTTTCACTGTTTTTAATGTAGCGAATCAGATATGTTGGCTGAAGACTCAGACGATTTTTTTCAGGACTTAGGAATTTGTTATTATGCTGCTTTTTTACACAGAAGAAACAAGAAAAGTGAATAGCAAAGGTGGAAAGAGAAAGAGTTCAGCTAAACATCTTTAAGTTTTAAGGTTATTCAAATATGAGTTTTGGAGAAATTAGGGCGTAAAACCGCAAAAACAGATTTAAAGCATGATTTCCCATAGTCTCATTGTTTTGGACGGGTCACAATAACATTTGATTATGTTGTTGTCATGTATGACCTAGCAATTTTTAATGCAGAGGCTCTGACAGATGGGATAACCTACTGATAGCGTTATTCTTGAACGTAAGTTTTGCAGAGTTCGTTTCCTACTCTGAGTCACTCACATTCTCAGTTTCCCTGGCCTGTGTCCAAGCTCATGTTTCATCCTATCTGTGCAATGTAGTTACTTCTGCTTAACACCAAGTTATTCAGCTCAGATACAGCCTTGTCTTGTCTTAACTAAGATACCACTGAATATAGCAATTAGAAGCAAAATTCAAAACTTGTTATAACATTGAATGGTTATAACATTGAATTTCTTGTTAAGCACAAGCTTCTATCAGTATTCCTGAAATATGACAGTGTTTCTATTGTCTAATGTTCATTTATGTGAACTACCGTGGCTTTATATGTTCTACAGCATTCATGTTAATAAGAAACTCTATTGATTTCATGATTAATAGTACAGTTGGAATATCTATGTCTGCCAGTGTGAGTTTTTCTAGAGAATCTGCTTTACTTCAGTAGGAAATTGAAATACTTCCCCCATAAGCCCCTTAGGATTCCTGAATTGTGGATGTTTTTTTCTGGATCACAAAGAGTGAGATTCAGTTTGAGTCTAAGACACCTAAAATTGGTCTACATGTGAGTTAAGTGTCTAAGCTCTTGTTGTAGTCAAATGACATCTAGTGAATACAAAATAAAAGACAGAGCTATTCAGTTGACTCTCAAATGGTCACCTACATTTCATCAGCTGAATGGATCTCATCTCCATTGACTATGTTCATTACTTATCCATGTTAGAGATACACTGCCTAAACATTGGCATCGAGAACCATTTTAGATACCTTTGGTCTTCTGTAGGACTTGGTCACATCTACCAGTCCCGTATGAACACCGTGGATATCTCAGGGTATTTCAAATTGTCTTAGAGGCATATTTTTAGGCAATTGAATGGGTCTCAATATTCATGTGGAAATCTGCCCATGGGGCCAGCATTTTGCAGGACATTGTCCACATGAAGTCCTTGTTTTGAAGAGTTCATACTGAACTACAGAAAATAAGTAGTGGTGGGAGACGAGAAGAAAGGATTAATGTGACTTGTCAATAGCAGAGATGGGTACTTTCAAGCTACCCAGAGCTATGTACCTTTCTTACTGTCTATTTGTCCCTTCCTCCTCCTGCCCCTGTCTGCTTAGCAATTGTTGGTAAAGGCAAGCTGAGCAAAGTTTAACATGGCCACAGCATCCTCAGTCTCTGAAGCAATGAATAAATATCTCAGGGCACCGCAGTTCACTTCTATGGGTAAACTCTATTGAAGGCAAATCTCTGGCTCATTCGTTTCTCACGCATAGACCAGTTACGTTCTTATTGTGTCTAGTGGTTGAACATTCACTAGATGGATGCAGCAACCATGCGACCATGTTGAATCACCAACAAAATCTGGTTATACCTAGACTTGAGTACAGCAGTGACTGTTTCAAAACTGATTTCTGTTCACTTTTTTTTTTCTTTTTTTTTCTTCCCTGTTAAGCAAAAGCAATCTGAGGAGAGAAATAGCTGTGCAGGTCTGCATTCTCCTGTTGAGAAAGTAGATCCTGCAAAGCTTTTCATACTGGTTGAAGTCAGGTAGGTATATCAAGTGACATTTTCCTTCTTGTCTCCATGCAGCTTTCAGAGGGAATCAACGCGGGCCAAGGACTAGGTATCGAAATTATTGCTACCTTCCAGCTGGTGTTGTGTGTCCTTGCCACCACAGACCGGAGAAGGAATGATGTCTCGGGATCAGCACCTTTGGCCATTGGTCTCTCTGTTGCCTTGGGACACCTTCTTGCTGTAAGTTTCCGCTCTCACAGTTGATATCTGCAGTATGCCACCTCAAGATGGGCCAGTGAAGGCAGGTAGATGATGGGCAGATGAAAGTTTCTTCCTTCTCCTTCCTCTTCAGAGACTGACCTTGTTTCTGCAGCATGCTTGGCCCACCTCTCTTGGCCCATGTGGCTGTGGCAGTAAGTGATGAGGTTGCATATCTGGGACGAGTCACTGCAGTAGGACTTATTTCCCTGGTAGGACAGGACAGGCACATGACCAACAGTCTTTCCCCCTTTTTCTGAGGAAGAGCAGGTGGGATGAATGAAGCTGTTGTGAGCATCTGAACCATGCTGCAGGCTGCCACTTGCCCTCCTGTGTAATGAAGGTGCCACATGTGCATCAGTGCCTCACCACTGGTTCTCTTTCCACCTCCTAGATTGATTACACCGGTTGCGGAATTAACCCAGCCAGATCTTTTGGCTCAGCGCTGATTGCCAACAACTTTGAAAATCACTGGGTAAGTTGAATAAATTTGTTTAGCTTACAAGAGACTCTGCGTATACATAATCTACAAGATCAGAAACATTTAAACACGTATCTTTAGCACCAAGCCAGTGAGTTGCCATTTCTATTTCATTTAACAACAAATAATTTCCTTTTGCTCCTGACCAGCCTCAGGAGATCACAAAGTCCTCAAGCTGAGTGTGTATGTTCAAAGTAATAGAGAAGATTTTCTTTGGTTATTTCCCTTTATGTTTATTTCTTTCAAATATTTTAAACTTTAAAGCCTCATTGCACAGAAACCTTTATTGAGTATTTATTGTTTAAACTGAGTTTGTAAAGTGCTACTGCTTAATCTGGTAAAATTTAGGAAGGTTCTTAATAGATTCCACTTATATTGAAGTGGATCATCCAATATTTGGAAGCTAATAAAATGTTCATCCTCTTAAAGTTAAGTGTCTGCTTATGTGCTTTCATGGATAAGTGCTCTGGAAACACTATAAATTTTAGATTATTCCCTGTGGTTAAATGTGGTTAAAATGAGGAACTTCACAAAAAATTACTTATTTCACTAAAGCTCAATAAAGAGGGCTAATATAAAAGCCCTAAAAGAGCATGTGTTCCTGAATATTTAAAATGCAGCTTGTTCCAACTCTCCTACTCATGATTTTGGCAGCCATTTGCATAGGCATTCATGGAAATTTAGTGAGAGTACCACGGGTTGTGAAAATTTTGGATGTGGATGCCATTTGAATCTACAGAGTAAAACACAAAAGGAGGACACTAGGGAAACTTTTCCATTATCTCCCTTCTATTGGGATACTTCTATTGGGATACTAAGGTAATGTAACTAAGTATTTTCAGAATTTCATAGAAAAAATATTTTCCTTTGTAGAGAGAGAGAAGGAGATAGAGGTAAAAATTCATATTAAACCGCTGATATTACTGAATAAAAGAAAACATGTTTTCAGACTCAGGAACTCTTTGGCCATACAAATCCCTCAAAATCATCTGTTATTTCTAATAAAATCAACCTGTCTACTAAAATACTTTTATTACCTCTCTCTCCAAACTTTGCTTGCCTCCAGTGATTAGACCAGTACAATTACAGCAATATCACTAGCTAAATAGCAGCTAGTAGCAAATTAAGCCCCTAATTAGTTCCTCACTAAGTATTACTTTCTAATTCACCTATCACTGGAAGTTAGTGGGAGAATGGAAACTAATGCCCTTGTTGCTTTTAGAAATTGTGCCCCCCTGCCAAATCTCTCTGGAGTAACAGAGATGTTTTACCAGTAGATACCTAATTTAAAATGTCAGAACTTGACAACACAATCACAGTTATTCATCTCTGGGTCTATTGCCAATTCATGGTGAGAAATTCATGGCTTCTTGCCATGTAGTTAAGTAAATGTTCAGGCGATAGACTGTATTTTTAATGTCTTCACTGTAAATTTTGTGCAGAAAATCTTCAGAGGAGATTTTCAGAACAGCTTCGAATGCAGTAATACCTGATGTATTAACTGGGCTTGGAACTGTGTTTCAGATCTTCTGGGTTGGCCCAATCATTGGCGGAGTAAGTGCTGCCCTGATTTACGACTTCATCCTGGCTCCTAGAAGCAGCGACCTGACTGACCGCATGAAGGTGTGGACCAGCGGCCAAGTAGAAGAGTATGATCTGGAAGGAGATGATATGAACTCCCGGGTTGAAATGAAGCCAAAATAAGGAAGGACAAGGAAAAAAAAAAGCACATTGGTTTCCGAAGATTTTATCAGTGTTATAGACTCTTTGTAAACCCACAAGCAGTACTTCGTTTTTTAATTCAATATGGTTTTCCATTTTTTGCCCCCAATCTTAATAATATTTTTATATCTGGGGTTTTTCAATTACAAAGTATTCAGGCCAAGAAGTCGTTAGACACTTTTGCGTGAGCTAAATAAACTGGGCTGAATTTTAACCCCTCCCTCACCACCACCAAATTTTCTTGTGTATTTAGCGTGGGTGGTTCTCCCAGCACATCACTCAGTAATGATAAGTAGTTCAAATGATCAGTCTGTTTGCTGAAAGAATAGATACCGAGGACAGAGAACCGTCTGTACCAATAATGGGGGCCTTATACTGGGAAAAGTATTTATACAAATATGCAAGGCTGGTATCCAATGCCAGCAGTTCATGTGAAAAACTATCTCAAATCATTGCCCAAAAGCATCTTTTGGAAGGAAAGGCCACTAAATATTACTTGTTATGTAGAATTAACCATAATTTTCTAAATGATTGATATCTCTGAGAAAGAGGGCCAGCAAAGTTAAGCAAGGCAAGAATCTCCAGATTCCCAGGATCCATTTAGATTTTCCAGTGTTTCATTCTCCCTGAACCTGCATCCAGCTCATTGTGAGAGAAAAGAATATACGACAAAAAATGTACAGATATATTAATTCCTGAGAAGTAATAACTAGAAGTCCACTTGGAGAGCAGTAATAACAACAGCAAGAAGAACAACATGGTGCCAATATGTAAACAGGATCTGATTGTTCATTTAACTGTATGTTTTAAAGCAAATCAGAAAAAAAAAAAAAGGCCTCTTTCTTCCTGACCCCACTCTAATAGCCAGTGCTGTGACATTCAGGGACAATGAATAAATATACACACAGTATATTTTCTAATGAAGGACAAATACATACCTGTGTGTAAGTCCATTTCGGGGGTCGTTGCTTTGTTTTTATATATATATATATATATGTTTTATACAGAAAGCCTAGTATACTGTTTTGTAAGAAAATAAGAGCATAAGACAAGTGGAAAGAATTGCAGCAGTGCTTAGCAAAATAAATGACACTGGAAACATAAAGAAAATTAACACTCTAAACGATGTGGAAGACTATTTTCTGTTTTCGTTTTTGTGTGTATGCTACTTATGAATTCCTGAGTAACCCAAAGCATTAGCTGGTCTTACCTACTAACTATAGAATATAGTTAAAGCAGATACATGCTGATATACTTGTTCTGCACTAAACGGTTTTACGTAAGAAATGAGGCCCAGAGGAACCTACATAAAAAGCTGCTCACTTTACCATTCAGACAAACACCCCAGAGGTAGTATGATGGATGTCTCCTGTTAGAGGGACAGTGTGGACATGGGAACTGAGAGGGTTGACATGGGAATCCATATAGCTTGGATCATTTCATCAAGTTCAGCAGATGTACAATGAAAAAAAAGGAACCCCAAAATCACCGGCAAACTAAAACACTTAATCTTTCTTGTCTACATTTGGTGTGCTATCCCGTGTATTGTCTATGTACATACAGCATGATTGGATTTTGGGGTGGTTTAAAAATAAACACAATCAGTTGTGCTAACACATGAAACGTTCACGATTCTTGATTTTTAATTTGCCTTCCAACACAACACAATTTCATTTTCTATATCATTCTTCAGGTGCCCACTTGTAAGACAGAGGCAATTTCTACATTTCCACTCCTGACCGTTTCCTTGATTTGATGCTAGCCTTTGGGGAAAACAACCTTTTTTTCTTTGTATGGCAGGCAAAGCAGGCTCTCACCTGGAAGTAAGTTCTGTCTAAATTATACTTAGAAATGAAGCAGGATACCAGGACTTTGTGCCCACTTTCCAGAATCTTTTTTCAACTTTATTTGCTGGTATCCTAGTGCATCCATTGACCCAAAATTAACACTTCTTTGCCTTGCAGGATCTATAAGCCAGAACAGTTGCAGAAGTCACCCACAGTAAATAGTTTGATTTGACAAACTTAAGGTAACTTAACACTTTTAGTGATGGAGAAGATGTGAGATTTGCAACTTGTTCCTTAGTCTACACCTGTGAAGAGCAATATCTTGGCCTATTTTCTATGCTTCAAAGTCCAAAACTTTGAAGACGTGCAATACTGCCTTTCTATTTGGTGTGTAATAGGACTACGTCGTGTTAGTTGCTCTAGCTGCTGCTTATGATCACCATAGTAATAAATAAAACAGATGAAAGATGTACAATAACTGTGCCACTAGTGAAGAAACAAAAAACAGGTCAAAGTAAATGAAGTGTGATTTGTTGGTGTATTTATTCACAGTGGTAATGTTTAAACAATTTACATTAAAGCTGTTGGAAATTAAGTGAAAACATAGAGCAACAGAATTCCGGGCTTAAACCCCTCCCTTCTTAAAGAAGGAAAAGCTTAATGATACATTTAAAGTGCTTTTGTAGTACTTAGATCCTGTCTAAATAATGCAAGGCCGTAGCTGCTAATGGTCTCTCCACTCCTGGCACAAACGGTTTTGCTTTGTGCTAGACAAGCACACTTAAAAGTTATCATCATCTCATTAAAATATTTGGAACATACCCAGCAAAGGAATTAAAAGCATGAAGCAGGAAGTACCGAAACCCACTAACAAATGTCAAGTGGGCAAATGTATTTACATGTGATCACCCAGAAACTCAGCAAATTCTCCCTGACACCAAGAGGAAGCCTGGAACACAGTTTAAAACAGCTCCCATGATGTATGCACTAATAGTTCCTGACCTATGGACAAATAGACTATGTCTGTGCCCTGGTGATTCCTGGGGACAAACCTCTTATTTATCACACATTCTAACAGGAAAAGATAATAAAGAGTAGATGCTTTCATAGATTAGCTAGGAACCACCTGCCATGGTCTCAGCAGCCACCCTGCCGGGTAGCCCACAGCATACTAAATACCCACAGAAAGCGGCTACGCCGATGCTAGTAAATGAAAAAACAGGGGAATATTCCCAAGCACAGGAATATAGTCATCAGTGCCTGTGTGGGCCATCCCAACTAATGTTCTCCCAAACTTTTCCTGGGCAAAGTTGAGCAATGCAAAGCTGATTCGCTCTGCTCTGTTTTGTCTCAGGGCCGGTTGTCGTCCCAGGGTTAGACAGCACCAGCAGTGCAGGTGCACTCACTCTGTGGTTTAGACAGCTGACAAAGTACCATCTGGTTTTTGCATGCACCAGCACAAGGCAATGTAGAAGAAGCCTGAGCAAGGTGCTTTGAATTCGTCCCTGGAGAAACCCCTGCTGCTCCATTGATTCTATAGACAATCTAAGGAGATACGGGTCCTAACTTTAGTCATCTATCTTTAGAAGTAAATACATGCTCCGCCTCCCCATTGTAACTGTGGCAATTTAATTTTAGATTTCATGTTGCTCAACTCTACATAGACTTTTAATGCATGCAAGGAAAGAAAGGCGATTGAAACATAACATAATGACAGCCAATAAGCCAGGAAGCTTCCATTGTCTTTCCATATCCACCAGCTGCACCAGTCACAATTCACAGCTTAATGTTTTTAAAAATTAAAATAACACAATAATACTAATAAAGAGTTTCTCATAGTATTTCAGTGTTTTCCCTCCTTTTACCCAGCTGAAGTTTGGACGTGCCAAGAGTCACACAATAAAATTATATTAAGAATACGACTGCTATGATTCAGTTGAAGCCTGGGATCTAGTAAACATCTGTATCAAGAATGGTTCTGGGTTTCATTTTACTCAAGCCTGATGTCCTTGAAAGGACTATATTTTTTGTATATAAGTTGTCTGATATTACAGAAATTCCTTAGCCCAGAATTCCTTCTGGGGACAAATGCATCATTTATAGACTTTCCAAAGCTGAATTGTGAAATCAAACCTCTGTTTAAATAGGTTCATTGATAATTAGATATTAGCCATCTATAAGAGCACATTGCTTTAGGTTCTTGAAATTGTTTGCCACATAGGGCTAGGAATGATGTTCCTGAGAAGGAACAATTCCTGTTGCCTTCAAGATTCCCTTGTGCTGTTGGACAATCTAATATGTTCAGACCTACAAAGGGAGTTAACACATTAAATTCTGATTTGACAATAATGGGACTTCACTTAAACCCCCTCAGTGAAATCCTGTTCTCACTGAAGCCACTGTCATTGTCTGTTATTTATTTTGGGAAAGCAGAATTTGTCCCCAACCATTTATCACCGGATAAAAAAACTGTTTACCACTAGATCAGTTATTTGTTGCTGTGTGTCTTTGATTCTGAGTAAAACCTTCTAGAGACCTGTGCTCCTGATCAGTTCCATGTAACCATGGATGCCTGCCCATGGCCATTCCTCGTCTACACCCTGTCTAAGGCTGCAGGGAGAGATGGGCAGACAGGGAAAGACTTTTTAGCAGAGCCTGTTGCAACAGGACAAGGGGAAATGGTTTTAAACTAAAAGAGGGGAGATTTAGGCTAGATATAAGGAAGAAATTTTTTGCAATGAGGGTGGTGAAACCCTGGCACAGGTTGCCCAGAGAGGTGGTAGATGCTCAATCCCTGGAAACCTTCAAGGTCAGGTTGGACGGGGCTCTGAGCAACCTGATCTAGTTGAAGATGTCCCTGTCCACAGCAGGGGGGTTGGACTAGATGACCTTTAAAGGTGCCTTCCAACCCAAACTATTCTATGATTCTATGATAATAGCAATTGGCAGAACTAGATGGCTACCTCAGCTACAATGCTCTTCAGGTGGGGATGTCAGCCCTATTGCCTGTAATACTGTGATAATTACAGTATACCTCAGAATTTGTTGAGAGGCTGAGCACAAAATACAGGAACAAAGAATGGATGGAGGGAAGTGACACAGCACATAAAAGGCAACTGATTTGTAGATTTTATTAGCATTCAAAAGGATTCATTCTCCTTTCACCTTGGTTGAATTATATACCCCACTTCCCCTGAGCCATACCTGTTTGTACGAAAGGTCTTCAACCTTTTCAATCATTGTGTTATGAGATTTACAGATTTTGAAAAAAAGAACCCCAGAAACTCAATACACTCCCCTCTTCATGATCTCCT